ACATTACAATATTTTTGATAGAAAGAGGTTTCTCTATTGTTGATTAATGTTTATTGATACATAATTAAATATTTAAAAAAAACTACCGATAATCATCAAAAACTAATATTATTGTTTTTTTAACATAGACTATAATAAAATGTATCAATATTTTGTACGAGATGATTTAGGATCTACTGTGACAAATTCTGACCAACGACTGATGAAGGTTGTCGGAATTAATTCGGTATTACAGGGTTGTAATTCATTAGTTGAATCCGGTTTCAAAAATACTTGTTTCTGCATCATTGTGATATTATTGACGTTATTACAAATGATTCTGGCAAGAGTCATTTTTCTGATTTCTTTCAGTTGATCTGAAATTTAAACAAAAGTTTATGAAAATTAAGTTAATTCATAAAAAATAGTTCAGCTGTACTAACTTTTAGTGAATACTCCTGGTAAGTCATAAAAATATCTATCTGCAGTTTTAGTTCTTACAAACTGTTCTCTAATAATACATCTCATCGTTGGCCCAACCATTGCGTCTTCAGCGTGTTTCTCTAACAATGCTCCTACTAATAAATCTATATCGTTCAAAGATTTGTACTGCTTCAATAATCTATCGGCTGACTAAATGCAACATACAGAAAATTATTATTTAGCATTATGATTTTTTTAAACTTACATCTTTCTCCATGATCTCGGATAAATGTTGTTCGTTTTCTATGTCTTTTAGTCCACAATATTTTCTGAATTGTGTGTAGCTTGGAATACCGTGATCGCGACTTCGTTGTATATCTAAGCTGACAATGTCCATTCCAAACCAATTCTTTGCATCTTTACTATATAAGTTATTTGTTATCTATAAAAAAATCAAAAAACTGATGTTACAAAATAAAAATGTAGACATATATTGTGTTATACGATCTATATTCTATAAAATTGTCGTCATCGTCATTGATGATATAAAAAAAAATATTTGTACTTTTGTGTTAATGTTTTAAAACCCTGTACCGTTTGTGTAAACAACATATCGACTTTTTGTGTATTCTGTGTAGTTAGTCCTCTAACAAGTTGATCCATGTAAGTAACCAGTATGTCAACCGGTCGGTTGTAATGATTCTTCAATGAAAGACTTGCGTACTTTTTTTGGTTTTCTGAGTATAGACTAAACAAATACATGAGCAACATTTATGAGTAACAACATACGTAGAACTTAATATAAAGCTTTATATTTTTACTATTTTCAAGCAGCAATATTATTATATTTGCTTATATGTATCTAATATCCATGTATCATCTAAAATTTCTACGCAGAGTATTATTGTTACCCGCACGCAAATATATTTATAAATTAAATATGTAATATTGAAACAATAGATGTATTTATTCATAGAATAATATTACATATTGTAGATAAGAAAAATGCACCCCTAAATTTGTAAATTTTTAACAAAACCAAAATTTAATTCTTATAGATAACTAAATGGCAGAACACATTTGTTCAATACGCTACTATCATATATGTATATATTGAAATTGTAAGAAAATAATTTAAATGTCTAGTTCGCCGTTTAAAAATCAAAAGTTAATAACGAATTCATATGGGTGAAATAAAGTGACAATATTGTTGCACGGAAAATCATACACATTGGTCTTAAATTGTCCAAAAAAACATTTTTCAGCTATCTTTAAAATATCATATCATATTGAATCGTCACTCCTATATAAAATACCTACCTACGCTTTTAATGATAACAATAATATTATTTCTGGAAAAACCTAACCTAATAATGTCGCTTAGCATAGAATTGGCAAACGGCAGTATCGCGGTAGCAAAGCTGTTGCTAACAGTTGGGTCAGCAGTCTCATCGTAGGTGTTGCTGTATCCAACTTCCAATAGTCCTAAACCGTTCTTCTTGGTGTAGTCTACGCCCAGTAGCGCCGGCAACCACTCGTTGTAAGTGATATGCTGTATAAACGCCGTTACAATTTTCTTAGACTCCAGAAAAATTCGTTCGTCTTCCCAGTGCGAGTTTAAATAAGCCAGACCCCTGGCTACCCGGTTATGTTCCCTCACCCACAGTGTGTGCAAGACCGTCAACTGAGGAAACGTATTTGCCCGGATGTCACCAGCCCTGAAACAGGTGCCGTTATCATGCTGGCAAGCGTCCGTTTCTGTGGTTTCCAGCGGCATATAGTTCTGGTCCGTATTGAGTGTGTTTGTCAACAGTTCACCGTCCGACATTTTTCTCAACGACAACATCTGTTTCAAAGACGAACCGTATATCATAGACCCATCTAAATAATGAGTAGCTTGGTTCATCTGTGAAACATAAACATGTGTTAAATAGTATGTACGAATTTTTAAATATTGTGTTAGTGTATGTAGTGATTGCGAATTCACAACGTCAGTTCTAAACACTTTTGCTGAAAATAATTGCACCTACCCCACGCACAATGTTTCTTGTAGATTATTTTCCCTTTTTAATTATTATCACAAACGTACCCCATACAGCAAATTTATGATTTTGATATTAGCATGATATCAGGTTAATGTAAATATTAAGATATTTAACTTTGTGATATCCTTATAACATTATATCAATAGTTTAGAATAAAAATTCTACTACTTTTATTAAGGGATGTCATTCTGATGATAAAATCACGATATTTCAAAATATTTATTAACATTATAACAAACAGATATTAATAATGCGATTTTAGAATCATGTGCATATCTTTATATCAGTATGATATAAATTCTATATAAAAATTAAGATATTTAAAAATATTTATTGCTATTATAACAAAAAAATATTATTTTTCTGACGCTAAACCTAATTAAAAATATTTTTTATATATGCCATGAACATTTCATTAATGTATATTGTATTCTTAGCGCAAGTCTAAATTACCACCCAATAAACACTACATTACTTCGCTTATTATAAAAATGTTTTAACTTAGGTACAGATTGAGAAGCACTGAAGTATATAAAAATAAATAGGTAAATAAAAATATATTAGGTATTAATATACCCATATTATATATATATATATATATATATATGTATTGTTGTATCATTATGCATAGTATAATTGTATGCACCTCGGCATATACATCAGTATAATATATTATTAACTCTAAATTATTTTATATATTTTACGTCTATGAAATATGAATGAAGAATCCGGTTGTATATTAGGTTGTATAACTGCTAACTACTAGAAATTGATTTTTCATTAATATTGAAACATATTAAGTTAACCAAACAGACAATTATTTTTTAACATATGCGACTTCCTGTTTACATTTTTCTAATAACTCTTCCTATCCTAGCTACATAGCCCTCCTCCAAAATGGCTTTATTAAGTGTAATTATTTACTTAATTTCAATTCTTTTAATAATAATTTAATTAATCTAAGTTCGTTAATATGGTATAATTTAATAATATTATTACTAATAATATTACTTGTTCCATGGGTCCAAATGTGCAACTGGAATGCACCGCTGGTCGCGAACGCACGTAGTTCATGCATCTATGTGGTCCCGGTACATAAAATTTATCATCATCCGGTATCAATATGGGCTTGCACGACCTTAAGTGTTTGTTCAATTTATATTGCATACTTCCATCAGTATAACAACATTTAACAAATCTGTTATTCCCTATGAATTTATTAAGCATGCATTAATAATGAAAAATAGTAAATATTATATAAATATATATAATATGGTTATATTATGCTTATTATGTTTACCTATGGTGGAAACAGCCGTGTGTGATAGATCGTGACCTATGAAAATCGTCCAGTAAGCCATCATCATCGTTTTTGTGTCGTCAGTCCAGTTTTTGTCGTCGACAAGATTGGAGCTCAGTAGTCTAGGATTGGGCAGTTTTTCTGACATATCGTAAATACCTAATATGAACGATTAATGAAATCAAATCATTATTAGATCCTTATGAATGTTAATTATAAAACATCATATAATATGTTTACTAAAAAGCGCATTTTATAAGGGAAAGAACTAATGTACTATGAATATCTTAATATTTTTTATAAAAAAAATTTTATATTATGTTATGGGTTAGAAAAAATATACACTAAAAAGTATATATGTTATGGACAGCGTTTGGAAAGAACAATTGGATTTTAATTCAATAATTACACTTTTTACGTTCATTTAACTCTCATTTGAATGATACCTAATAACATTGGATTATAACCTTTTAGCACGACCACAGAATATATATAACTATAATAATTATAATTTATAATATATTAATATGTAATAAAATTATTTAGTATTTTTTTCTTATTAGTGATCACTCCAGGATACAATCATAGAAGATAAAATTTAAAATAATAATATTTGATATCTAGGAATTTTCTGGCAACACTGATATGTGTAATCAAACATATTAAATTATTTCTAGTTTTTATTGGGAAATGTACGTAAACGCATTCACTATATATTAGTGAACGTTCTGAACACTGGTTACGGGTGATATGCGTCATAACAGCGATTAAGAAATATTACCATCTGTGTAGATTGGAAACAGCAAACGTTTATAAGGTGACGTGGCCTTTCCCAAAGAGGAACGTTTCCAGTTGTTACAAGAACCGTCAGGACTACGATAAATAAGGTACTTCTGTACACACAGAGTATTGAAATAGTCTTCTGGAGTACACATCTCACTCAAAGTTGTCCTGGTTAGTTTCACATTCGTTAAGTCTTTGGCACATTGTATATCACTTAACCCGTGCCTGAAATGATAATATTATTTATGCATATTATTATAATGATGTATATTATACATATATTTATTGAGATATTTATGGTATGCTTCTACTTTAGACAATATGTATTCTTTAAACTTCGTGTAACTTCAATAATAATTTCAGCATTCCGAGATACTGAATGTCCTTCTTCGGAAGGCTGGGAATCGATTAGTTGTCCATGAAACGGGCTTCCAATTATCAAACGATTCA